ATCCATGTATAGCTGATATAACAAAATTTGTACAAGAGAATATAAAACAAAAACTAAACTAATAGATATCCTCATTTCATATCAAGGACATTTTTCACTAAAGTCACCCAAAGTAACAAACTATGGACATTTTTCATTATCTGTCATTTAACTAGCTAAAAAATTTCTTAGTTCACTTAATTTAGACACCAGAGAGCCACTCTCCATACCTTGAGACAGTGTCCTAAATGTCACATTGTCAAGATCCATCATGACCTTGTCCAGCTCCTCATTTGCTGCAGTCAAAGACATCCATGCCTCATAGCATTCTTTTGTTTTAAGTTGGCACTGAGTGGTAAGCTCTTGTATCTTCTTCTCATATTTGGCAGTGGACTTTGTTTGCATTAATTTCATCTGTGAATCAAAAATTATGTCGCTAATTAAGAAAAAGCCTTAAAGTTGTAAGCTCTTTCAACTTTAGGTGATATGTGCCTGACCTGAGCTGAAGGAACTTCTATTTCAGCATCACAGTTGTTACATTTAAAGTGTTCCACCACCAGCTTTGGAACTACAATAAAATATAAGCCAAACTAACTTTAGAATACTGATATAAACATACAACACGCTGACAAAACAGTTCAAACAAAAGAAATGTATACAAGAATACCTGAAACATTTGGTGCTCTCCTAATTCCAATTCCACTAACGACGGGGCTTCCATTAACCCCTTCAAATCTTATCACAACTACTCCATCCTCCTTCACAGAGACCCTTGAATCAACTAATTGTAAGGGCTTATTGGCTCCAACAACCGCAAAGATATCGAAGTCTGATAGGACCTGCCACATTAGCCAAGAAGAGAAGTTCTAAGGATCAGTCCCTGGATTTACTAATTTCAACAAAAGGAAATGGAAAAAGAAAATAAACCACAAATACGCATTTCCCTTAATTTGACTTACCTTTTCTTCCTGGATGAATACATTAAATACCCTCATTCCTTTAGGCCCATTTGTGTTTATGATTTCAGTGAAATGAATATCAAC